AAAGACTTTTTCTGGAAAGAGAACTCTGGGAAAGGCAAAAGCTCCTTGAACTTTCATTATGGTTTTCATCCAGGGCAGGTGCTTCCACTAGGCAAACTAGGCATCTGCCTAGGGTGCACTGCCACCTAGGGGTGCCTGGGTGCAGCACAGGCTGGCATTCTCTTTGTGTGGCCTATGTGGACCTGTCTGCAGAGTCCCCCTCCCACACACTGAGGGAATGATGGTATCTTTACTCTGCACAATTATCCACACACATGACCATTTAGTACACACACACACACACACACACACACACACATATATATATACACACACAGGTGAAACTCGAAAAATTAGAATATCGTGCAAAAGTTCATTTATTTCAGTAATACAACTTAAAAGGTGAAACTAATATATCAGATAGACTCATTACATGCAAAGTAAGATAGTTCAAGCTGTGATTTGTCATAATTGTGATGGTTATGGCCTACAGCTCATGAAAACCCCAAATCCACAATCTCAGAAAATTAGAATATTACATGCAATCAATAAAACAAGGATTGTACATAGAACAATATCGGACTTCTGAAAAGTATAAGCATGCATATGTACTCAGTACCTGGTTTGGGCCCCTTTTGCAGCAATTACTGCCTCAATGCGCGTGGCATGGAAGCTATCAGCCTGTGGCACTGCTGAGGTGTTATGGAAGACCAGGATGCTTCAATAGCGACCTTCAGCTCTTCTGCATTGTTCGGTCTCATGTCTCTCATCTTTCTCTTGGCAATGCCCCATAGATTCTCTATGGGGTTCAGGTCAGGCGAGTTTGTTGGCCGATCAAGCACAGTAATCCCACGGTCATTGAACCAGGTTTTGGTGCTTTTGGCAGTGTGGGCAGGTGCCAAGTCCTGCTGGAAAATGAAGTCAGTATCCCCATAAAGCTCGTCTGCGGAAGGAAGCATGAAGTGCTCCAAAATCTCCTGGTAGACGGCTGCATTGACCCTGGACTTAATGAAGCACGGTGGACCAACACCATCAGATGACATGGCTCCCCAAATCAACACAGACTGTGGAAACTTCACACTGGAATTCAAGCATCTTGCAGTGTGTGCCTCTCCATTCTTCCTCCATACTCTGGGTCCTTGGTTTCCAAATGAGATGCAAAAGTTGCTCTCATCAGAAATGAGGACTTTGGACCACTGAGCAACAGACCAGGTTTGTTTTTCTTTAGCCCAGGTAAGACGCTTCTGACGTTGTTTGTTGTTCAGGAACGGCTTGACAAGAGGAATATGACATTTGAAGCCCATGTCCAGGGGTCCGTCTGTGTGTGGTGGCTCTTGATGCACTGACTCCAGCCTCAGTCCACTCCTTGTGAAAGTTCCCAACACTTTTGAATGGCCTTTTCCTGACAATCCTCTCCAGGCTGCGGTCATCCCTGCTGCTTGTGCACCTTCTTCTTCCACACTTTTCCCTTCCACATAACTTTCTATTAATGTGCTTTGATACAGCACTTTGGGAACATCCAACTTCTTGTGCAATTACCTTTTGAGGCTTTCCCTCCTTATGCAGGGTGTCAATGATGGTTTTCTGCACAACTGTCAGGTCAGCAGTCTTTCCCATGATTGTGATTCCTATTGAACCAGACTGAGAGACCATTTAAAGGCTCAGGAACCCTCTGCAGGTGTTATGGCTTAATTAGCTGATTAGAGTGGGACACTTTGAGCCGAGAATATTGCACCTTTTCACAATATTCCAATTTTATGAGATTGTGGATTTGGGGTTTTCATGAGCTGTAAGCCATAATCATCACAATTATGACAAATCATGGCTTGAACTATCTTGCTTTGCATGTAATGAGTCTATCTCATATATTAGTTTCACCTTTTAAGTTGCATTACTGAAATAAATGAACTTTTGCACGATATTCTAATTTTTCGAGTTTCACCTGTATACTGCACACACACATACAGTACATACACACATACACACACTGCTCAAAAAAATTGAAGGAAGACTTTTTAATCATCATCAGGTCAATTAACTGATCAGATCAATATCCCAGGAGTTTACGTAGCAAAGGGAGTTGTCATTCAGTTTCAGCTGCTTTGGTGTTAATGAAATTAACAACAGGTGCACTAAATGGGCAACAATGAGGCGCCCCCAAAACAGGAGTGGTTTTACAGGTGGAGGCCATTGACATTTTTTTCCCTACTCCTCTTTTCTCAGTGTCACTACTGCTAGCATAAGGAAATACCTGGACCCTACAGAGGTTGCACAGGCAGTCCATCTCCTCCAGGATGATACATCAATATGTGCCATTGCCAGAAGGTTTGCTATGTCTCCCAGCACATTTCTCAAGAGCATGGAGGTGATTCCAGGAGACAGGCAGTTACTCTGGGAGAGCTGGAAAGGGCTGTAGAATGTCCTTAACCCATCAGCAGGACTGGTATCTGCTCCTTTGTGCAAGAAGGAACAGGATGAGCACTGCCAGAGCCTACAAAATGGCTTCCAGCAGGCCATTGGTGTGTATTTCTCAGACCAAACAATAAGAAACAAACTTCATGAAGGTGGCCTGAAGGCTAGGCATCCTCTGGTGGGCACTGTGCTCACTGCCTGGCACCATAGAGCTCAATTAGCATTTGTCATTGAACACCAGAATTGGCAGGACCACCACTGGTGCCCTGTGCTTTTCACAGATGAGAGCAGGTTCACCCTGAGCACATGTGACAGAAGGGTCTGGAGAAGCTGCGGAGAATGTTATGCTGCCTGTAATATCATTCAGCATGACTATTTTGGACGCACAGACCTCTACAGGCTAGACACCCTGACTGCTATTAGATATCGTGATGAAATCATTGGACCCATTGTCAGACCTTACACTGGTGCAGTGGGTACTGGGTTCCTCCTGGTGCACGACAATGCCCAGCCTTATGCAGGCAGTTCCTGGAGGATGAAGGAATTGATGCCATTGAATGACCCCCTTGCTCGCCTGAACTAAATCTAATAGAACACCTCTGGGATATCATGTTTGGTCCATCCAATGCCGTCAGGTTGCATCTCAGACTGTCCAGAAGCTTAGTGATGCCCTGGTCCAGATCTGGGTGTATCATGAACTCATCCGTCGTCTCATTAGGAGCATGCCCTGACATGGTCAGGCATGCATACAAGCAGGTGGGGGCCATACAAACTACTGAGTACCATTTTGAGTTGCTGCAATGAAATTTCAGCAAAATGGACTAGCCTGCTGCATCATTTTTTCATTTTGATTTTTGGATCTTTGAATTCAGTCCTCTGTAGGTTGATAATTTTCATTTCCATCAAAGGATGGGGCATCCTTACGTTCCTAACACATTACCCAGTCCATATCAGTATAGATATCCAGCATGATATCATTCCTCATTGAGATCTGATGTGTTTTCAAAGTGTTCCTTTAATTTTGAGCAGTGTATAAATATATTTATATATATATATATATACACACACACACATATATATTGCCAAAATTGCACATGAACTTTAATAGCATCCCAGTCTTAATCCGTAGGGTTCAATATTGAGTTGGCCCACCCTTTGCAGCTATAACAGCTTCAACTCTTCTGCGAAGGCTGTCCACAAGGTTTAGGAGTGTGTCTATGGGAATGTTTGACCATTCTTCCAGAAGCTCATTTGTGAGGTCAGGCACTGATGTCAGATGTACTACAATGTAGGAGGGCAGCAAGGCCTCAGTATCCCTGAATGTGAGTCCATAGATGGGATCCCCATCTACCCTGGTCTATCACACCTATGCACAGGAGTAATTGTTTCATTTTCCTACTGATAACGGACAAGAAGGCCAGGGTCGCAGTCTTTGCTCTGATTCATCCCAAAGGTGTTCTATCGAGTTGAGGACCTTGCTTTGTGCACTGTTGCACAGTCATGTTGGAACAGGAAGGGGCCATCCCTAAACTCTTACCAGCATGAAATTGTCCAAAATGTCTTGGTATGCTGATGCCTTAAGAGTTCCCTTTACTGAAATTAAAGGGCCAAGCCCAACCCCTGAAAAGTAAACCCCACACTATAATCCACCTTGGCACAATGTAGTCAGGCAAGTACTGTTCTCCTGGCAACTGCCAAACTCAGACACATCCATTAGATTGCCACACAGAGAAAAGTGTGATTCGTCACTCCAGAGAACACATCTCCATTGCTCTAGAGTCCAGTGGCGGCGTGGTTAATACTACTGCATCCAATGCTTTGCATTGCATTTGGTGATGTAAGCCTTGGATGCAGCTTCTCGGCCATGGAAACCCATTCTATGAAGATCTCTATGCACTGTTGTTGTGCTAATTTGAAGGCCACATGAAGTTTGGAGCTCTTTGGTTATTGACTCTGTAGACAGTTGGCGACTTCTGCGCAGTGTACGCCTCAGCATGCGCTGACCCTGCTCTGTCATTTTACGTGGCCTACCACTTCATAGCTGAGTTGCTGTTGTTCCAAGTTTCTTCCACTTTGTTACAATACCACTAACAGTTGTCCGTGGAATATTTAGTAGCAAGGAAATTTCATGGATGGACTTATTGCACAGGTGGCAACCTATCACAGTACCACGCTTGCATTCACTGAGCTCCTGAGAGGATTATGGTGTGGGTTTGTTTTTTTAGGGGTTGGGCTTGGCCCCTTAGTTCCAGTGAAGGGAACTCTTAAGGCGTCAGCACAGTAAGACATTTTGGCCAATTTCATACTCCCAACTTTGTGGGAACAGTTTGGGGATGGCCCCTTCCTATTCCAAAGTGACTTCATGGCTGAGTTGCTGTTATTCCCAGTTACTTCAACTTTGTTATAATACCACTAACAGTTGAGCACCATGTTTGAATTCACTGAGCTCCTGAGAGTGACCCCTTCTTTCACAAATGTTTGTAGAAGCAGTGGTAGTGATTGGAACACCTGAATCCAAAGATTTGGAGGGGTGTACAATACTTTTGGCAATATATACCGTATTTTTCGCTCCATAAGACGCACCTGACCATAAGACGCACCTAGGTTTTAGAGGCAGAAAACAGGAAAAAAATAAAATTCTGAACTAATGGACTGCAGACTACAGGAGATGACCAGAGACTGCGGACATAGTACAGGAGATGATCAGAGACTGCGGACATAGTACAGAGATGATCTGCGGACATAGTACAGGAGATGATCAGAGACTGCAGACATAGTACAGTAGATGACCAGAGACTGCGGACAGTACAGGGATGACCAGAGACTGTGGACAGTACAGGAGATGACCAGAGACTGCAGACATAGTACAGGAGATGACCAGAGACTGCAGACATAGTACAGGAGATGACCAGAGACTGCGGACAGTACAGGAGATGACCAGAGACTGCGGACAGTACAGGAGATGACCAGAGACTGCGGACATAGTACAGGAGATGACCAGAGACTGCGGACATAGTACAGGAGATGACCAGAGACTGCGGACAGTACAGGGATGACAGAGACTGCAGACATAGTACAGGAGATGACCAGAGGCTGCGGACACAGTACAGGAGATGACCAGAGACTGCGGACACAGTACAGGAGATGGCCAGAGACTGCGGACACAGTACAGGGGATGACCAGAGACTGCGGACACAGTACAGGGATGACCAGAGACTGCGGACAGCACAGGGATGACCAGAGACTGCGGACAGCACAGGGATGACCAGAGACTGCGGACAGCACAGGGATGACCAGAGACTGTGGACAGTACAGGAGATGACTGCTGACCTTTGGGGGGGGGGAGCGGGTACCTGAATTTGACAGGTACCCGCTCTTACTTCCGCAGAGTTGTCCTTTGATCTTACCTGTTCCTCTATCCAGCCGCGCGCTGTCTACCCGGCTTCTGTAGTGTCGGCGCTCGGCATGACAGCCGGGTGCCAAGTGCGCATGAGCGAGAAGCGCTGCGCTTTGTGATTGGTCCGGCAGATTCTGGGATCTGTCATGTGTCCCAGGTACCGCCCTTTGCCATTCACAAAGAGCACATTCTTGCGCATGCGCACTTGGGACCCGGCTGTCACGCACACTACAGAAGCCGGGAAGACAGCGCGCCGCTGGATAGAGGAACAGGTACGGTCCCACTGCAGAGCTGAGCGGCCGGCCCGGTATTCTGATACGGCGGCGGTGGAAATACTGGACCGGCCACTCCATATTCGCTCCATAAGACGCACTGACATTTTCCCCCCTTTTTTGGGGGGAAAAAAGTGCATCTTATGGAGCGAAAAATACGGTACATACATACATACATACATACACACACACACACACACACACACACACACAATGGATATAAAAAAAAAAAGTCTACACACCCCTGTTAAAATGTCAGGCTTATGTGATGTAAAAAAATGAGAAAGATAAATCATTTCAGAACTTTTTCAACTCAATTGAAAAACAAAATGAAATCTTTTAGGGGGGGAAGTAAACATAAAAAAACTAAAACAATGTGGTTGCATACGTGTGCCATACAAATTTACCCTCTTACCTGTCAATTAAAGTGGTTGTAAAAGCTCATTCTATGCATGAAGGTAAAAAACCTTCTGTGTGCAGCCCCCCCCGAACACTTACCTGAGCCCCAACCTGATCCAGCAATGTCCATAAGAGCCTCGATTCCCTGGCGACTCTCACTCCTGATGATTGGCTGAGGCAGCAGTGGGAGCCAACTGTGTGTGAATGGACACACAGAGCCACAGCTCCGTAGCATGCTTGCTCAGGTGACTCCATAGCAAGCAGCTTGCTGTGGGGGTACCTGACAGGAGGGAGGGGACAGGAGCACTATCGGGGGACCGGAGAAGAGGATCCGGGCTGCTCTGTGCAAAACCACTGCACTGAGCAGGTATGACATGGTTGTTATTTAAAAAAAAAAAGGCCTGAGAGGAGAAAAACTATCTACTGAACCCCAACAATCATACAACTTTAAGGAGGTACAAGATGGAGCCCACAAGCAAATTAAACTGGAGCCTTTCCCCTGCAGTGCCACCTAGTGATAGAAATGCACGTTTCTCTTGTTTGAGAACTGCATTTTTGAAGTACAGTGTTACTTAAATTACATTCCAGGATTTGCTTGACTTCAGCTGAGAGAACTTGCAATAATTTAAGACTTTACATAGAGTCTGCAAAATCTTTCATTAGGGTCTCCATGTTATATAGCATGAATACCATGTCATAGATATATTATTGATCATTGTAAAAGATTTTATTCTACATTGTTTTTTTTTTAATTGTTATAGAACCCCCAACAAAAATCAGGTTTGGAAATAAACTAAAAACAAACAAAAAGGGGGAGGGGGTGGGGAGTGGGTCCACAACAACTAGCAATCTGAATGCCGTTTCTAATATCACGTTAGCCATTTCTATGTTTCATATGAGACCACCAAAGGAGAGGAAATCACCATGACATTTAGCTAAAGTCTTTCAAATCCTCTATATGGACATAACCTGCTCATTACAGAGTTGGAGGGAGGGAATTGGTTTATGTTAAATCAATATTAAATCAGTAAATAAAAATCTGTAAGGTTTAAATTGAAGGCATGTTTCTTAGTCTAATCAAGCCAGATCTGTATGTATTTTGGTGCTCCTGCAGTGCTGTAAGTAATCCATTGTGTACAGTTTAATTTCTGCTGTGTGTTTATTGAAAGTTTGAATTCCATTATTTAAAAAAAAATGTAACTGCTGTATTGTACATATAGGGCTTTTTTTTTCCAGTGGGAACACCAGTACTGAATATTTGTAATGGCAAGGGGTGCTGGGATGTGCTGGAGGGTCTATTAATGTTGGCTGCTAGGTGGTCTATTGTTGCTGGAGGAGATCTATTTTTGAATGGTGGTCTATTGTTGCTGCAGAGGTCTGTTGTTGCTGGTGGGGTATCTATCGTTGTGGGGGGTTATTTTGCTGGGGGGGTCAATTGTTGCTGGGAGGGATCTACTGTTGACGGCGGTCTCGTGTTGCTGGCTGCTGGAGGTCTATTGTTGCTGGAAGGCATCTATTTTGTGTGGCTGTTGATTGTTGCTGGGGAGATTTATTGTTGCTGGTGGGTCAGTTGCTGCTGGAAGGGATCTACTGTTAAGTTAGGGGTCTATTGTTGCTAGCTGCTGGAGAGTCTATTGATGCTGGCTGCTGGGAAATCTGTTGTTGCTGCTGGTGGCCTATTGTTGCCAGGGTCCATTGTTGTTGGGGGTGGAATGTATTGTTGCTGGGAGAATGTATTGTTGCTGGGCAGGGTCTATTGCTGCTGGCTGTGGGGTATCTATTTTATGAATTATCTTGTTATTAACACGTTCCATACATATTACCAGTACTTAATACCACAAAATTACTAGCTCTGTGTTATCTAAAAGGGGCGGTGCTAGAAGGTGGGTAGGGGTGGAACCAAGGGCCAGAGCTCAGTGGTGGGTAGGGGGCGGAGGCAAAGTGACTTAGAAGGGCGGAGTTCCTGCACCTATTCTGAGAAAAAAAAACCATTATACAACCATTTAAAGATGAGATGACCTACAGAACTGAAAACTAGCATTAAAGTATAACTAAATCCAAGAACAAAAAATTTATTTATATTGCACTTTACCAATCCTTAGATATGATGTCTGCATTTGTTTTAATTTTTACCTTTTCTTCAACTATAAATGTATTCTCCTAGCAACATGTGTGTGTGAGCACTTCATGGACCTTAGCACTAGTTATCATAAACAATACTAATTGCATGACTTGCAGTGGGAGCAGCCAATATGTTTTTTTTATTTCTGTCTACATTGCTGTTAGAGATTTTCTCTATCTTCCCATTTGGTAAATGTTGCCAAATGAGTAAGTTAGAAGAAATCTCTCCAACAGAGGCCCGGGTTAGCAATTAACTGAACAGGGTTCTGATCCTTTCACACAGTATTCAAAACTAAGGGGGGGGGGGGGTATTCATAAAGCTATGGTAGAAAGAAAAAAAAGGTTCATTTGGCTGAGGGTGGGGTTGCCACCATCCTTAACTACATTTTTACCAACCTCTTAAATGGAATTTGGAAGGGCAACCAAACACACACATCTTTTTTTTTTTTTTTTTTTTAATTAAACAGACAATAATTGGATAAAATCATTGGATTTTACAATGTGCTGACATATTTGAAATATGTAATTAACATTTCTTTTCAGATCACAAAAGAGGACAACAAACCTTTTGGCATGTTTAAACATATACATAACCAGAACATCTTGATTGTTAGTTTGTCAGCCTTTTCCAAAATTTCTCTCTATAACTTCTTCCTTGGGGATATAATACCATGCTTTAATATAAAGATTCATTTATAACTGCAACAGTCTTTAATACATATACGTAGCAATTTCAAAACAAAAAAAACAAAATATTTTTCATAGCATATTATAAAATTACTTACTTAGCATAATATTACGTTAAGCATGGGTGCCATCTTACAGAACATTTCCACTAAAGCCACCCTCCTGGTACAAAAGGAGCCAGGACCATAGTCTCCAGCTGCCACAATACAATGGGAGGAATAAAAAAATTATATATATATACACATATATATATATATTTATACACACATACACCAATTGCTCTCCATTTTTATTTTTTTTTATTTTTTTGTTTCGGACAGAGCAGGAAAGGTATTACAACCCTGTGAATGCTTTATTGCTGTCTGTGCCCCCATTAAGAAGATTCATCCTCTCTATTTTCCTGTTTACCATTATCACCAAGAGTGAAAGTGAAAGAAAATCCCAAATTTTGAGTTGTCTCCAAAACAGGAGTTCAAATCTTCCTATGGGGTCACTAGTTTTGGTCACCCTGAGGATAACCAGGGATTCCCTCACTTAGGAGAGATTTCTTCTCACTTCTTATTTTGGATATGTGATAGGAAGTGAAATGAAATCTCCACTGTAGGTCACAGATGGCACAAAAATAAAAAATGACAGGTATTATAACTCTCTCTTATTCTATTCAAAATTTAAAAAAAAAAAAAAAAAAAAGTTCTTCTGTTATTTCTCCTTTAATCCAGACTTCACCAGATGTATATACTTACCTAACTTTCCCTTCCCTGTTGCTTCAGCAGCAAAATAAAAGCCCTTGTAGTTCACACATGTAGTCCACATGACAGTACTTATTGGCCCAATGTTGGCACATACTCCTTCATATTCAGAAGTTTTGTTTATTTTCTTCGGCTGTTGGTGACATGAGCACAAAGGAAAAGTGAGTATATGATGCTGTGGAGGGGGGATGAAAGCAAACCGGTTGCCTTGAGCTGGCCTTAAATGGATCCAAATTCATCTGGTTCCAGGTTTGATCCATACATGGCTGTTCCTGTTTATAAGAAGTAGATTGATTGACTTTTCATGAACAGGCTTGTTGGAAAGTCTGTGCTCAATCAGTGCATGCAGCACCGATCGGTGTACTCTGACAGCGGGAGAGTCCAATCATCACAAAACAATGACACAGTGGGGAGGATTTACATACCTCAAATGTGTAAATGTAGAATTCAGCCTAATTTTTCTCCTTCAGCTGCCTGGCTGAACAAAAAAAGACAAAACAAAAAAGTGTAATGTATGACCAGCTTTACAATGATATGAGCAGCAAGTAGCATCAGCTTAAAACTATAGATCCTGAAAGATATAATCA